GTGGGAAGGTGGTGAGTCCAACCTTGTCTAGTCAGCAGTACCCAGTCCCAGTCTCCCTTAGTCCAGTCAGCAAGTACCACGTGGGACTGTGTGCACCAAGGGCCCGGTGGAAAGGGGGCAGACCAGCGACCAACAGAAGTATAAATCAAGAGGCCGTGTCCGCCGTCCAGCCATTCATTCATTCCTGTGTGAGCCATGCGGAAGCACTGCCCAGGGGACTCGTGGGAGGTGGTCTGCAGATGCCCGAAGTCGAAGTGGGCTGAGGGAAGGAGATAGTGTCCAGTTAGTAGTAGCGAGCGGCCATAGCCGCCACATGTTAGAGATAATGTTTCAGGGTGTGAGTGCGAACGAAGTACAGTGAGTGCGTGTGGGATATCCAGGCAGTGTAAACAGTGGATGTAAACTCTGAGTGGATAACTGAAGTGGAGCAGGCAATCTCCATAGCCATTCTGAAGCGAGTTTGTATCTGAGTTGTGTGGGCGACCAGCGCCAGTCTGCTTCGCCATCTGTTGGCATGCATGTTGTATGAAGAAGAAATCAAGTCTGATTGCACTTGAACCTGACCATATTGGTGACCAGGTACATTCGAGTTAGTGCTAAGTATGAAGCCGTTTGAAGCAATCACGGGGAGGGCAATGCTATAGGGGAAGATTCATTCTCCTTTTTTTTTTTTTTTTTTTTTTTTTTTTTTTGCAAGTTGCAACTTATATTATAGAGTAATTGAATGAGGCAGGGAATCCCTCAACATCTCAACCCCGTGGTGAAAGCTTGTGCTGGGAAACGGGTCCAGCGTCCCGAAGAGGAAATGTTCCTATTGGAAGTCGGGTCCATCGTCCCCCTGTGAATGTCTCAGAATTCTTTCGAGTTTGGTACACCGAGTGGTTCTGATCTGCACTCTCTACTCCTCCAACCACATGATTTCCTAACAGGATAGGCTAGCTATTCATGTAGCTAAGCTTCAGAATAGTACCCGGACAAAAAATCTTGAATTGGTGTCCCAGACCGAAAGACCTATAGGGTCGCCCACACAACAATCAGCAACAGCTACAGGTTTTTACCTAGCCAAGGACCTGATTCACCTTTTGTTTATCATCTAGAGTGGCGAGCTTGTTGTCTGATTTGGCGCATGTTTGGAGGGCCCATCGCACTGCCCCTCGTACCCCTCGTTCAAGCTCAGGCAAATTGCAGAAATACCGGTTTGCAAACGTATCGTAGCAACTTTACTGGTCCGCGATCCGCGAAGGTACGGTGACAAGTATACCCGCCGGTGAAGTTGCAGAAATACCTATTTTCAAAGGTTTCTGTGCAGATTTACTGCGCGGTAAATGCATTTGTAGCCCATCGGGACATCCGTTAAAATTGAAACGATACAGAGAAGATTAGCATGGCCCCTGCGCAAGGATGACACGCATAAATCGAGCAAAAAAAAAAAAAAAAGCATTTGTAACAGGGGGCCCGTCGGGCTGGCCTAAGGGAAGGGCTCCAGCCTCCAAGACGTGTCCTCTGTTAGAAAACCAGGTACCGCGCGGTATATTTGCTTTGCAGCTGAAACATCATGGACCGGTATTTCTGCACAGATACACCTCAAAAGAGGCTGGACTGCTCGCACACGTGTTTGTTTGTCGCCATATCTGCTCGGTGCAGTGAAGTTGGTACCATAAGTTTGGAAACGGGTATTTCTGCAATTTGCCCTTGAAAATTCCGCTGGTGGTCACGCATCTCATCGCAGGTTGTCATAACGATCACGGTGCTCCTAAAGCTGATCCCTATGTCATCATTCAGGTACAGATCGTGATTATCCTGCTGATGGTAGCCGTCTTGCCACTCGAAGTCGTGGTGTTGATGCTTAAGGTCGTCACCTAGATCCCGGCGAGGTTCGGTGTGGTGGTTGCCATCCCGACAGTGCTCTTCTTCGTGCATGCCACTGTGACAGTCGGTGCGCGTCTTCGTCGTGCTGCTCGCCCTTGTGCCCCTGCTCTTCATCGTGATCTTGCTGGCCATCGGGCTCTGTTAAGGCGTTGTTCTTTACGTTGTGCTTCCCGGCAGTCTGCGTCATCTTGTTCAGCGTACTATATATGGTGGCCGTTCTGCTTATGAAAAATCGTACTTGTAAAAACGTGCACCTAGCCAGGGCTGCGATCAGGTACATTGACAAAAGAACGGCGTACTACCTGACCGACAGGAGCCTATGATCATGATGCTGTGAAGCCTGCGAAGTGGCTGTGATAAGGGAATGGCAGTTTGAGTATTCGTTTTTGACTCTGCGGGTAGTGGTGCACTGATGTTGGAGACCCCTCTGCTTGCTACCTTCTCAGGCTCAAGTTGTTGTTTTCCAGCAAACGCTGCAGTTTCTGTTGCTGGTGCAGAGCTTAAGAGTATCGTACCTCCTCTCAACGACTTGCTGCTGTGCTGACTACGGTAGTCGCTACGGCTGGGCAACCTATCTGCTGAACCGAGGTCGGCTCGATGCTAGCTGTGAAGCGGGGAGGTCGTTGTCGTAAGGTTGATCTGCTGAAGTGCCAGGCCGCTGTCGTCGGAAAACTGTTACGGCTCGTCCAGGAAAGCAGCTGGTCCAGGATTTTTTGCTGCCTCGAAGAGCTGTTGCTGAGTGTTGAAGGAGCTGCTCGTCTTTGCAGCAAAACGGAGAGCTGTTGGAAGTACTCGGTCTGTTATTTGCTGAGTTCATGATGAGGCTGCGCTGGTTTCGTAATTAAAAAAAAAACTGTAGCAACAAAGCAACCCGGAAAACCTTTTTTTTTTTTTTTTCGTAATTCAAAAAAAAATAAATTAGAATTTCACTCATCTGCTTCCACCAGTGGTCTTCGAACCCGGGTCTGTTTTTCAACAGTAAAGGAGTGGACCGACTGAGCTAGGCAAGTCGGCAGCAACCCCAAAACCTAACAGCACATTTGCTTGATATGGTAAAAGATGTCCCAACCCACACCGGACACAACAGTCTCGCTCATTTGGCATTCGGGAGGGGGGGGGGGGGGGGGGGGGGGGGGGGGGGGGGGGGGGAACAAAGGCCTAATGGGATTGCATACTGAATCTGATTGAATTTCCAGAAAGTGGACACCGTTACGTTTTTTAAACGAGATGACAGTTAGAAAAAAAAAACAAAAGAAAAAAAAAACAAATTCATAAAACCATAAAACTGTTCACCGCCCTGTTTTTCCAGAACATTCTCTATCGAAATTTAATAAGATCTAAGCAAAGGATAATCCACCATTACAGCACCAGTCTCAACTCCAACAATAAATAGAGGACATTCAAAATATAATACAGGACAAAACACCAATTGAGCACATTAATGTGCTCATGTCGCCGTTTCTACGAAAGTCCAACAACAGGACAATCATTGTGTTTACATTTCAATCAGCCTTGCAAATTACCGCCCCTTCGCAACCCCGCAAAAGCCACCTTAATAAAAACACATCATACCCTTCGTACTCGGGTAAAGTTTCATGCAAACGCTTGGCACGTGCTTCTCCCCACTAGCAGACTGGATCCCACTTTGTCTCCTCCCCCCCCCCAAAAAAAAGGTAAAGCTTCCACTTGTAGCACAGTTGGTCATGTCGGAACAAAAAAAATCATCCTGTTCAGATCGTAAGTCCCTCCATAATGTGAAAAAACAACTAGCAAATATGATAGTCCTTTCGGGAATGTAAAAAGACGTCGGACCTACTGGAATGCCGTCTTCACTCGAATAGAGCGCCCCGGTCATTATAACTGTCTCTGGACTAAAAATTGCCCCAAACACGACTATGATGTTCGCGGGTTGTCTTGATGTTCGCGGGTTGTATTCAGGTGAAAAAGGCAAAGCTCAGTTGATACACCAATCAACTGTTCAAACACAGACCTCAGTTCGAATTCCGATGAGACAAGACAAGTACCTCTGAATTTGCATGGGCCGATCAGCTAAAAGACGAGATCTCAAACCCGTCGTCCCTTACAAATAAAATTTTACAAACAAATAAAGCAAAACAAAGACCAACTTCGAGAGAGTCCTTGCACCAACAAACCGAATCAATATATATCCGATCCAAAGAGAAACTGCGAACACATCCATTTTTTAAAACTTATTTTTCTCATATTCAAACCGCTTTATTGATCGCTCAAGCCATTTTCTCTGAGAATAACACAACACGCAGGTGTTGAAATCACCCGACCAATTAATCAGGTAACCCATCATCCATTGGTGGTAAACAGCACAACGCGTCAGTTGGCAGTCGACTTTCGCGGGTCAATAATTGATAAACCGACAAATCAGCCGACAAACCAATCCACTAACCCCTCATCAATCAACAAATGGATACGTGTTAACCAATCAGCTAACTGCTCAACACCAATCGTTCCAGTCCGCCAATGAATACATCAATCAGTCAATAAATCGATCATTGAATGCGATCGATCAGTCGATCAATCAATCCGATCAATCCATAAATCAACCAATCACCAACCTCCTCAACCCCAATTCTTTCAGCCCCCACTCCACTCATCAATCAGTCAATATCCAATCAATCAGTCGATCAATCAATGCGACCAATCAGTCAATCAATCAATCCGATCAGTCCCTACAACCAATCCGATCAATCAATCGGATAAATAAATCGATCAATCAATCGGATAAATAAATCGATCAAGCAATCCGATAAATAAATCGATCAAGCAATCGGATAAATAAATCCATCAAGCAACCGGATAAATAAATCAATCAAGCAATCGGATAAATAAATCGATCAAGCAATCGGATAAATAAATCGATCAAGCAGTCGGATAAATAAATCAATCAAGCAATCTGATTGATCTCTGCAAGATCAAAGCGCGCCCTGCCTGTACCGTTAAGGTGACCAGGAAACACATCCACTCCAACTTCATCCCACGAGACGCCCCAGACCTTTCGAGAGAAATGATGCCTCCCATTTCTCCGCAACGGTGACAAAACTCCGTTTGTGACACTGTGCAGAGATGGTACGTTCAACGGCCCCGAACAACAGCAAAGCAACTGCTTTATTTTACTCAAATAAAAACAAATTGATAAACTTCACAGAGATGTTGGCGATCAGCTGACCGTTTATTAATGAAGAGATTAACAAACATCTTCATTTTTCGCTTTAACAGATCTAAAGGCGCTTATTGATAGCGTTTCCCGCTTCGTCCGCCCTCAACGACTCTACTCTACAGTACCAATTTTCGCTTCAACAGATTTAAAGACGCTCTTAATCCACCTGCACCGCCAATCGCGGGTGCACATGAATAAATGCCACCACATCTCAATCTATGTCCGTCCTCTCTCTCTCTCTCTCTCTCTCTCTCTCTCTCTCTCTCTCTCTCGCGCGCGCGCGCGCGCGCGCGCGCGCGCACACACACACTCACACACTCACACACTCACACACTCACTCACWCACACACACATACACACACACACGCTGTAGCTGGACTCAGTGGAGGAGAGCTATAGCAACGAAAGCGAACGCCAACTGAATCAGAATCGGAATTGCCGCAGCCGGAGCCGAGCTGTGTGACGACGGCGCAGCCTTGTCGGTGGATTTACCAGCTAGAGTAGGAGTGGGGGTCTTAGTCGTCACTGATGACGACGACGATTCTGCCTGGAGCGCTCTCCTCTCCTCTCCAAGGCACTTGTCGACGTAATCAAGTGCGATCATGGGGTATCCGTTCATTGCGATCTTGTTAAGCAATTGCACCCCGCATTCCTGGTTAAACCTCGAGTTCTCCAGCACTTCCGCCATCAGTGCATCGATCTTGCTGCAGCACTCTCCTCCCCTTCCCAAGTTCGAAGCCATCGCGCCGCACGGACCCTTCAGGGAATCCAAGTTCACATTCGCCAAGTTGCACACGTCGGTGTCAGCTTCACTGCCAGACGCGGCCACTACACTCATCAGCCCGAAGAACGCCAAGGCGACCATAGCACCCTTCATCGAGCGCGCCATTTTCCACCCTGCCAACAACAACAACGACCGCGGTTCTTCTTGAGGAAGGACGGGCGATGGCGCGCAAGTACGGAGTTGATCGCCGGCAAAGGAGGGCGCGCAAATACCAATGCCGACTGCTAGAGAACGAGAAGTGCAAGTGACAGCCAGCAAAGAACCGTGTTGGGGAGCTTCCCGAAGAGAGCAATATAATAGCACCGTGCCGAACTCTTCGCCGCCAGAAAGTACACACACCGGCGGCATGGTGACTTTTGGCCCGCGCTGGATGAATTTGACCGTAGTTCCACCCGCACCTGGATGCATCTGACCGTAAATAGACCCAGAAGCTCAGTCGGAAATGTCCTCTTGTGAGCATGCCAACCCCGTGTCCCCGCCTGCGCTGAACCGACGGAACAGGGCCACCCCACCACTTACCAAACGTGTAAAACGGACGACGTATGCACTCGTAGAACGTGGGCAGATACACCCATGATGGTTCGGTCTTTTTTTTTTTTCCCTCTCTTTTCTGTCTTTGTTTTTCGAAAACTTTTGGCGCCCCTGTAGTTTCAATTATTTTGCGTCGCGCCCCTCCGCGGGCCGATTTACCCTGTCACGCCCTATCTTTCTCGGCAGGCCCCTGTCGGTAGTGGGAGCAACTTTCCTGGACGCCCTCCCTCAACTAACGGTCCCATTCCATTTGCCTTTGCGCTATATGCCCTCATAAGGGACAGCCATCTTTCTATACTGCCCCTGCAACACTGAGGCGCTTGAAGTTTTGCCCACGTCCTGTCCCGCTGCTTGGAGTTTTGCCATTTAGCATCCGTCAGTGTCGGCCTCCCTCTTCGTTCTCCCTCGTAGCAGTTCCTCTGCTTTATGTTCAGGCCTCGCCGCACCACTGTCGAAAATGCGATTTTCGACAGTTGCACTTCGCCACACAGGCTGTCGAAGTCGGAGACGAGAAGAAAATTTGCAAGTTGTCAGAGAATTCTTCTCGACACCTCCTGTCGAAAGTCATTGAATTTCCAGCCTGCTCCTCTGATGCTTTCGACACTCCTCGGCTGCGCCATCAACTTCGCTTCGAAATTTGGTGAGTAGGGGTAAGGTCGGGATGGACTGATGCTTGTCGTACCCTCGGGCGCGTTCGTCTTTTTCCATCTTGCTTTCACAAGTGCATGCACTCTACAGTGATGTGTGGCGAAGGGGGGGCAAACTGTCGAATGGAGGCTGTCGAATTTGTTATGACAGCCGTCGAATTTTTTCGACTTTCGACAGTGGTGCGGTGAGGCCCTTCATGTCATCCTCTTCCCTGCGAGTTTGTTTGTTTGTATGTATGGATAAGATGAGCAAAATAGAATAAATTTACGAGTAGAACATGGAAATATAAACTGCCACACTTGCTTTTGTGTGTGTGTGTGTGTGTGTGTGTGTGTGTGTGTGTGTGTGTGTGTGTGT